CAGCAGGACTACTGCTGTCATGTGTACCAGCCCGAGACGAGAGTAACATCCGCCTGGCTGGCACATCGCATTCACACACGCCTCCTGTCCTGTGTGACAGTCTTTAAACCACGCTCTTAGGCACATTGGACGAAAACTTCATCCAACTCTTTTCATGCTGCCTGAGGGCTGCACTTAACAGGTTCTAAAATAACCATTGCTTAATCCGCAGAGGGATGAGTAGCAATAACTTTTATCGTTATGGCATCTCGTAGATCACTGCTGAAATCCTTCTTGGAACAGGAGCTAGTTATCGTATGTCAACAGCGTCTGCAGGCAAGCTGCCATTCAGGATTAGTGACACAGCTCGTGACGGGCAGCCAGGTGCCAGCTCTCACCTCCCGGAGAGTGACGGAGGAACCACAAGATGCTGCGCTAGTCGCACACCCACGAACGTGTCTGGTGGGCCAGACAGGAGAGGAAATCATTTCGGGCACAAAAGCCTGATGGAAGCATCTAGCTCCAACTTCATGCTTGCCAGCCAGAGGAAGTTGGGCACTCTGTCCAAGACCACGGCCTCATGCTCATCTCCCACCTCAAGAACACAGCTTTGGGCCTCAGACAAAAGGAAAAGGTAATAGTTTGCAGTAAATCAATCACCTTCCTTTTGCTCAGAATGATGTCTAAGGGGCTTCTGTGGCTGAAGGGAAGCACGTTTGTCTCTGGGATTACTCCTGGTGATTCATCCTCCTTCAGCCTCCCCAAGGCACTGCAGTCCCGTCGGACAATCACAACCACACGCTCCCCGGCCTGAGCAGCCTCTTGGAAAGAGCCGATGATGTCATGCTGGGCAAGACAGGACAAGCAAGCGAGAGGGAAGGCGATCGAAGAAGTGGGGAACCTGCCAGGTCTTTCCAGAGAAGGGAGCGTGAGGAGCTGTCATCATTCTGTACCATTGCTTTGCAATTACCGAACAGGGTAGGAAATGCACCACAGACCAGAGTGCAGAGTTCATCAACTGCGCCGCGCTTTTCTCTCTGCTGGAGTAACAGACCCTCCTTCCCAGCCAAGTGGGCTAGAGCCATCTCAAAAATAAAAACTAGATCAAGCAAAAATGTACTTTAGCATCAAGCTGCCTTAGACTTTACGGCAATGGGCAAGGGCACAGGCTGCAAACCCTGATTAAACTGCAAGTGTGCTATTTTTTGGCCATCAGAAGACTGTTTTTCTATTTCAGCTGTAAACGGCAGCTTTTTAACTCTTGAGCCATCTGCAGGATGCCCCAAGTGTATGAATCCAGAGAGGCTTTCTGAAAGCCACAAACATGGTTTAAATACAAGTAGGAGACGACAAGAACACGTGGGTCCAAGAGTCTCTGGCTCTGCTAGCAGCACAGTACGGTACGGCCCCTTCTGCAGCCAAGGGACACAGGGAGAGGTTTATCAGGCAGCACATTCAGCTGTCTCTGATCTCTGTCCCTCCCCCCATACCCATTTACATCTGTCTGCAGGAACAGCCTGAAACGATCACCTGAACAGCTGGGAACGCTGACGGAAAGCCCAGGTTTGTAACCAGTTGATTCGGTTCCTCGGGGAGGATCTTATCAGGAGCTTTCCTTATTCACCAACATCTATTTGCATCGATGGAAAAGGCTGAAATTCTGCATACAGCCCCGCATAACCCTGTCACCACAAAGCAGTCCAAGCTCAGCACAGGCAGGCACAGCGTTACATTGCAGCGCTCCGAAGAAGGAGAACACCACACGACTACAGGCAATCCACTTTTTGTTACCACTCTTTGCTACACACAGCTTGTATCTGTGAAACACGGACAAATCGTCACATCCAAGAGATGAACAAATGCCAGTTTTGGAGAGCATTTTTCAAATTTTCTGCAAGATGCAAGCACAACAAGAAAAGCCTTGTTAGGATTCAGCAAGGAGTTACAGTAGCAAGTCCTCAGCGCATAATGGTGAAACTTTAATGGACAACAAAACAAAAAAGCAAAACCAAGAACTTCCTGAAAGGTGTTTCGTCAGCCGAGACACAGAGAGAAATATGTAGGATGTGTCGGTGTCAAGCTTAATATATAATAGCGAGAATACTTACAATGAATAATACTTAAAATGAGTATCATGTTTCTGATCTTTTGAGCCCCACGCTCAGGTCAGACGGTTGTTTTTACAATGCCCTTGAGAAGGAGGATTACTGTTATTATTGTTTCCATCCTACAAAGCATGAAATTGAGACTCAGAAAAGCTGAACGCTTTGCCTGGAGTGGTTTGCAGAGCTGGGGTGGGAACTCTGGGGCGTCTGGTGTCAGCAGCGAGATGGAGATCGGTTTCGGTCCAGCCAATAACACGCAGAAAAGCAGTGGAATGACAATTGCACCAGCAGCTAGATAAGAAAATACTTTGCTGACAGCAAACAGAAGAATTTGCCATCGGTTAAGCACTGAAACCTAACCCATGGTGAGCAGACAGGAGCTCGGGCTGCTGTCCGAGCCCTGCGCAGGCTGGGCCGGGGACGCCAGTCTCCAGGGAAGTTCCCTTGGACGTGAATCCAGCTGGTGACTCAGGGAATGTTTGCAACAACGCAAAACGCTGGATCTCCTTCTTGGGGGCGCATCACGCCTTCTGTACCTCACCCGCATTAGCTTAACAAACAGTCTGAAGCCTCAGAATATCCTGAGACTACCAAAGCACTTCCCTCCGGGAAAATCTCATCTCTCATTTTCCTCACTTGGAATCTGCTCATTTTGTGCCGCAGAACAACCCTTGGGACTCACGCCACAGTGCCCATCCTCTACCACCGACCTGCTCTCCCCTCCACAGCACAGCGCGAGGCGCAAATGTAAAGCTGAAGTAGAATTCCTTTCTTTCTCTTTTTTTGCAAAGCTTATTAAATGGGAACAGCACCTTTGCCTACGGGAGGCTTTTCTGCTCATTTGTTACTCGAAGTACTAATTTTCCCTCGCCAGGCCTGCCCTGCTGTTCCTGCACTGCCTGCCGGGAATCCTCGTGAGCCACCATCGCTCTCCTCCTCTCAGCCGCGGGGCCAGGCTGCCTGCGCGGGGCTGCGGGTCGGCC